ACACACGGCAACATTGATTGCTTTAGGAAGACAGCTGCAGTATATGCACTGCTTTCTGCTGCTAACTAATTTCAATTTATAAATTCGCACAAACATCTGGCTTCCTGACGTAGGCATCACGTGTTTTTCTACACGGTAAGTGTAAAGCGTGTTAGCCAAATTCTGGCCATAGAAACCGCTGAATCTCTCTTCATTGAAACCTTATGCGAACAAGCTGTCATTACTTTAGTGATCGCATTTGCACGGCTCTTCAAAACCATAACCACTTCTAACTTGGTAGATTTGTTAGAGAATGACTAGGAGATAGTCAGCCTGGGCTGTAGAATTCAAGTCAATTCATTCCCAGCCAAGGTGGGGGAGGTTGTGTAATTGATTTCCAGCCTCTGGTGCTGTCATCGCCTAGCGGAGTAATGCGCGAGCCAATGGCGTGAGCGCAGGTGAGGATCGCGCACCCCATGGGTAGCGTCCCCATTTGTTGGCACGCGTCAAGGTAGATGGGGTTGGCGTTACCTGGGCTAAACACACACGCAAAACGAGTCAGCATTTCTATCCTTCATAATCAGCTATCCTCCTATCAGTACTGTGTGTAGCTTTTCGATGGAATTCTTGAATGCATTGAAACAGCGTCCCGATAGGATTTCAACATTCGTCTGGCGATTCAGTTCAGTTATCCGCGGCAGACGCCTTCCTTCTCTAATGTCTTGTCGTGCGGTACCATCCATCCAGTGAAGTTGAGATTACTGTTGTTCTGTTGGAATAGGTGCTTCAATGCTGCTATCATTGCAAATCCCGGGGTTTCTGTTATCCTTAACAGGTGTGCACATGTCCAGATATGCAAGCACAAACGAAGTATGAGAGCCTGTAGACATAGAAGATTCGAGCAGGGTCAGCTACGTTAACTTGGAACTGAACAGTTGGACATAAAAGTAAGAAGAGAGGTGTCATTAATTTGCACACCTCCGAAGGGCTACGAGGACCCTTTGTAAGAGTGGCGAGAATGTGAATTTGGTGAAGGTACCGCTGGGTAAAGTGAGCACTGAACTGAATTCCATGGGGTTGAAGAACCAAAGTGTGAGGTGAGGTTGTTGTGACATTTGGGAGAAAACTGGAAAAGAGACCACTAGCTCAAGAGAATCGGTCCTAGCGGTTAGCAGTGCCGTTAGTTCCCATGAACTGCCCAAGTTCCTTCATTGTTTTATTCAAGAAATTGATGACGATGTCTGCTCGATGCTAATGAAACTGTTAAGAGTCGTGGGTTGAGGGATTTTTGACGCTCAAGGCAGAGGAAAATGAAAATGCACTTCTCTTAGGTAGACGCGAATGTAGTGCCACTATAAATGAGAATGCAAAATTGAGGGGGGTAGGAGGATGTCAGTCTGTTAGTAGTGCAGCGCTTACCTACCCTCCCTTGACGTAGGCTATGGGTCATTGGGTTTGATGACCTCAGTGCTGCTGTGTCCCGACGGGCGGACGATGGAGGCGGAAGCCGCTCATGGGACGGTGACGCGGCACTATCGAGAGCACCAGAAGGGCCGCCCCACTAGCACCAATCCCGTCGCCAGCATCTTCGCCTGGACCCGTGGTCTCGCCCACCGCGCCAAGCTTGACGACAATGCGGATCTCAGCGCGTGAGTTAAACCTTCTTTCCTCTACCTTTTTCCTCATTCCCCTGGAAAGAAGATGTCGATTCAGCGCGTGTGTGCGCATCTCCCCTTTATCATGTGAAGATGTGTTAGACGTAATAGGTGTACTATTTCTAGCCGATGTTATTGGCGGATTGGTAGCAGCACTATAATCAGGCAGATGTCATTGAAATCATAATTCACGTAAACTCTTCTCAGCTAGCTTTTCTGTCAGTCTGCTTTCCAGACATCTTGGGGATTCACGATCAACTGGCTTCCGCTACTGTGGTCAGTGAAGTGGTGGGAAAATGCTCTTAAAGGCGCAGTTTACAATGCATACATCATGTGACAAGCAAATCTGAAAGTTGATTTTATCCAAAATCACAGAAAAGTCAGGAGAGCAATGGCATAAGTGGCACTAAGAGGAATGCATGTCATCACCGTAGAAGCCAAACCATGGAGGAATGGAGGTGCTCACGAATTCAGGCATAGAATTCCTCCAATTTTTATCCCATTAAAGTTTACTTCTTTGTATGACTGTTTCTATAGGCTCGGCCTCATTAAACCCTTCTGCCAATTGCAGCGGACTTACTCCCATGAATAAGCTAAAAACTTCTCAAGACTTTTAAGACCATTTTGCAGCTTTGGTTCCCCATATGCATTACCGTAATTGGAAAGTATGGCAGAGGAATAGATGAAGTGGAAATTTCCCTCCCTCATTATTTTGCCAAAGTGTTCCTCAACGTGGGATTCCTGGGGATGTCATGGTTGCTTATGCAAGCAAGGAACAGGAGTGCTGGAAGTCTACTGGCGTAGGCAGGACGTAGTTAGAGCTCCACACTAATAGTGTGGCTAGCAAATTGCGGAAGACTGGTGCAGCGAAAGAAAGAAGAAGACACAACACTCTGGCAGAATATGCATTGTCGACAAATCGTTGAGAAAGTTTGCAAGCTTGAGCACAACTTCCATTTGTATGTGCAATAGCACTGCTAGTGTTTACTCGCCAGCCGACACCACGGCAAGTTGCACTTGGTTTTTGTTTTTCTCAGAAGTTTTCAATCGTTTCGTGCAAAAAATTTGTGACATTCTCTTCAGATTGTCACGACGATGCAAGCGCAAACATCCGAACAGAGAACAGAATTGTTTGTGCCATGATGAAGACTGCGAAGTGTACATACAGACATTTGGACTACTTCACTTCTTTTGTGTGATACAAAGAACCCGAGTGTTATGGAGGAAGGATACTGGAAGTCTGACCATTAGACAGCAAGAGTAGACTGCGAATAAAGTTTGTATTCCAAATTGCAACCTCAAACGTAAGTAATGGTAGAGCCTTTTTTAGGCACACAATACCAAACAATGATCCCAGTAATATTTAGGGCCAATTATATTGCCAGAGATGTCACGAGGCCTTTGAAGTACTTTTGTAATTCTGAATCCATGACATCTTCCGACTCTTCCCCTCGTTTGTTCATTCCACTTTGGGTCTATTTCCACAGAACAGAACTTACGACACTAACACGCGATTCTGATAGGCATGGCAACAAGACCACACCTCGGACATTTCGGTGTAGGCCAGGACTGCTTCACGATGATTGCCCACATTCTCCCCTGATCCTAATCGTGAAGTAGGATATCCTTCATTCATAATTGCCTTAAATACTAATTCTGACCACACCAAGTATAAGCCTCCATTACTGCCCTCCTGTAATTGAGCAGACACCTTATGCCTCTAATCTATCTATCACATTCCTGTACACGCAACTACCAAACTTGTGCCTAGTCGCGGAGTTGATTTTTCATTTATTCTAATGAGCAAAAGGTTTTTTAATATCTCTCCATCCATTGTGGCTACAGGTCATTTTCGTTTGCTACAACTTACAGGTTTTGCGGTCGTCTCGAGCGCGCCTGCGTAGAAACAATCGAGTCGGGGAAAATGACCAAGGATCTGGCCCTCTGTGTCTACGGCTCGGCCAAGCCGGACCAGTACCTCAACACTACGGACTTCCTTGATGCCATCGCTGAAAATCTACAGCGAGGCCTCTCCCGCTGAGAGTCGGACCCACTAGGACTTATCATGACATCATTAACTGCAGTAATTTTCACTATCTTGTAGTTCTATTTGATGCTGCATCGTCACTTCGCGTTACTTTTTACTGCCGACCCATCAGCAAATGGGGATTTGGGAAGCAAATAACTCCACCAAACTTAAGACCTCAAGGCATGAAGTTACGATATATGTATGTTGAACTCACGTACACGAAAGGTGGGATATAGAGCGAAAGACTTCGGGCAAAGTTAGGAGATAAGAAATTAGTGGTCAGGATGAGGTAGGGTTCCGGCGTTATAAATGAGATTAAGTAGGACACGGGACATCTCCCTTCGACATTCAAAGTCATCTGGACGACCAAGCATGTCCCAGGCTTCGGTGCTACGTGGACAGGGTCCACGGCAAAGGGGGCACTGCTGTCGATTCTTCAGCGTAGCTGGACGCGAATATCGTCTCGTGGTGAAGGATTCGTGGCGTTCTGGGGGCAGCACGAAGGAGGCCTTAAGCCTGAAAGGATGCCTAAGGTTCACCCCAACAACCCGCGTAAAAAGGCACGGGACACTAGTCAATATCTCACCACTCGTCGATACACTTTCGACAGAAATTGTGACCACAGGGTAGAATTGCGGAGGGACAGGCGTCACAGCACAGAAGGCATGCTTCATCCGGGAGAGGTCCAGACTCCCTGCCCGGTGTTTCAGCAGGGATTTGGCTGAAACGCTTGATCTCCTGATAGAGGACATAAAATTGTCGCAGGGTCAAGATTCTATGAGATAGTACAGACCCACTATCAGATCGAGTCTAGAAGAAACCATTATTAGAGGCCAAATTTTACGATGGTGCAGTGGATGGTCAACGTTAGTCTCCAAAAAATATTTAGAAAATTTACAGAGCAGCATTCAAATTGGATATTAAGGCCATCATTGGCATATAGCTGCTTAACTCTAAATGGAGAGTTCCACAGTAAACGATCAAGTACACTCTATTGGCGTCTAACACCATGGCTTCAACAACGGAGGATGAGAGAGAATTCACTTTGTTTTCCAAACAAACTTTCTGTTTTAGGAAATCTTTGGTGTCTTGAACTATCTCCGCTGCCGTGCAGCTCACATTATAGGCGAAATCTACAAATCACTAATAGGATATATGTTACCATCAAATGAGGAAACAGCCATTGCCGCTTTCCTAGCAAAATTGCAGTCTAAAAGGAATAAACCACCTTCATAAGTTTGCACCACAGAAAAAAAGTGTCATTTACTTTTGACTGATAAAGAAACACGGCCTATGAAAGACTTTAAGTGATGGCATCTATCGTGAATGGAGAGCAACTCAAGGATACAAAGCATAAACGTAATGCAAATTTTGATAGGCGCTTTAACAAACTCCCGAAGAGACTATATTCACAAAGCAGCACAAGAACGGTAGAGCAAATAAATAAATAGCGACAACCAAGTCCCCTGCATCAGTGATGCCCACTTTCGTGATCTCAAACCAGAACTTAACAAAAACCAAGTCCGCGGCATAAAAGTTACAAAGCTACTCCACTCAATTATTATCATTATTAAAGCTTCTAAAAGCCAACAGAAATGCGAACCAAATGCCCTTACAGATGGAAGACAGTACACACTGCCACAAAAGTGCAACCCTCCAGTTGATAAATTCAAACATATGCTTTGAAACCAAATCAACTAGTGAATTATGACTATATTCTATTTGGAATAATTATTTGACGGCATATACTAGCAACGAAGTTGGTTCAAAATTCAACCCACATGACCATTATTTCTCACTACCGCTAAATTAATACAAGCAAAACTACACAAATATGTGATTCAAGGCTCTTCTCTGCAAATCCTGCAAATCCCAATTGCACTCTAGGGTTCTAATTCGCAAATGCAATCAACACCGTGAAAACCCATCCTGAGGCATCTCACGTGCATACATGGGGAGGAACAAGCCGCCCACATCCTCGAACCTCACATTCGCGCCCGAAATAAGTGCTTGAATCACGCAAGCCAAGCACCCACACCCGCTAAGCCCCACCTCCGACCAACAATACTGGGAGTGCCAAGAAACAAGCCAGTTTTCAGCAGTCGACGCAATTAAACAATACTTGACCACAACTCTTTACACAATCATTAGCTGTTAGAGAAGAGTTTTTTAATTGACGCGTGATCCTTCTCTGGCAACTTCCTCAAAGCGTTCTCACGAACTAACCTGAAATGAAACAACTTCAGATGAGTTTCTACCACAAATATGGCACTCAGCAATCAAATTTGTGCAGCAATAGGATCTAGCATTGAATGAGGCAGCCACAAGTGCTAACTCACTCTGCTTCGGCACTCTTTCCCGCGGACATAAGAAGTTGTATGTAGTTGACATAGACGACCTTCTTCTGAGGATGAGCCGCAAGCTGCTCCTCAACCAGCTTTATTGCCCGATCCACATCGCCGAACTCAAACTCCAGTCGCGCACACCTGTACACGGAAAGAAATACCACAATTACTGTCAAACAAATTCCGCCCTCTTCCCACGACACCAGCGTCTACACGAATATTGTAAAACTGTCAAATGCTCGGATAAAGATGAACACCGATGCATTACTGCAAATAAAAGTCATGATAGGCATCTAGACCCCCAATTTTGGAATTCACACCATGAAGCTCTTTTGGAACTAACTCAAATTTCCTTGTACTCTACCAGATCATAATAGGAACAACAGTTTTGGTTTTTTACACGGAAAACAAGAAACAAGCGTCTCGCATTAGAAACGAATATTTAATTTAACAGAACAAAATCACGGGGTAATATAAACATGAGCAAACTTTCGAATGTAATTAGAAAAAGAAATCCAAAATTCTCACATAAAATCGCCAACACGGCTTCTAATTATTGAACGAAAACAAATATCTAAACTGAGCAACGTGCCTCTTATCAACTGAAAAATGGGAATAAACGACATTTCAACAACGAATCAATGATACACAAAAGACAAAAAACAGAGGACTTACCCTACAGCGAATTGAAGAAGTTGTGAGAGACGCAGAGTTTGGCCAGCGTTACGCTGGGCCTCTCTAGCACCGGTCACATTGCCAGCACGGAAGCGAGCACGAACCAGGGTTTGCCAAGCCTCCGGCAAAGCAGAGTGCTGACGCACGAATTTCTTCGCCATATTCTCCGCATACTAGTGAGGGAGGGAAGCAATTCATTTGACATTAAGTGACTTTGTAGCTCAACACTTCCTCAGAATTCCTTTAGAGACCTTTACGAATGGTGCAGATTCATTGGAAGGCTAATGAAAGCCTCTGTCCCCCATTTACCCAATCCAGCTACAATCACCAGCATTCTCATTCCTCCACTAAATCATCACAGGAACAACTTACAGCACTTCATGCAATTTAAAATAGCTCCCTTCAGTTCTCTGTGGACAGGATGTGTAATCATATCCTGTCGGTAGCAAAAGTTGAAAAAGCTTCGAAGTGAAAGCCAAAAAGGAATACGGAAAACGAAGACGAGAATTTCACATAGTTTTTCGCGCAAAACACATTGAGGCCGACCTGTAAAGCATCCCTAACTCGAACTAGATGGACATCCAAGACTCACTGAATGCAGTCCAGCAGTGGAGAGAACAGAGACCGCACGACGGGTGACAGCCTCACGATCCAACTGCTCGATACGCGCGATGACTGCATCGAGAAGAGGTGCGGTGGGGGTGGAACCAACACTCCGCTCTACTCCCACACAGGCAGCAGTGGCAACGGAACTTTCTAAACGTAGGGAGGAAAGGAGGATGGTACCCGTGAAGCCACCCGCGTTGTCAGCACTGGCGGCAGGTGAGTCGAGGGCGCGTTGGAGAACGGTGCGCGCTCGCTCCACATCACCTGCCGCCTGGTGGTGCACGGCGTAGAGCGTCCAAAGGTGCGCGTTCTGTGGCGAGTTGCGCACCGCCACCTCATACTCCTCCACGGAGGAGATGCGCGGCAGTGGGTGTGCAATCTCGCTCCCCAACATTGTTGCCTGGGCCACCTCCGCCAGTCGTGACTCATTCCGTAGACTTGTGAGAAGGGAGGACGACGCAGCAACGACCGCCTCTTCAAGGTATGAAGCATGCATTGCGTTATAACTTGATGCCAACAATTCAAATAGCATGAAATGACATTCGCATCAGGATGTTTGCACTCAATAGTAACAGTTGGATACGTTTACGAATATCATGTTTCCTTCGCGCAGGAGTTGTACCAACAATAGTGGTCAAAGGCAATTAAGTAAATGGTTGCATTTACAGCGCACGAATCAGTTTCGAGCTGTGATGCAGGTGTAGGAATAAATTTTGAGGAAAGCATGATTACGATAGGACAAAAATAGTCCGAATGTAAACGAACTCTGACACGAATTCTCCACTTCCATGTCCTTGTCCTCATTCTGCAACGGCTGCTGCTCCTGTTCAGTAAATAAAGGAGAGAGGAAGTCAGCATAGCGGTCCCGAATATCTCCAATTGTGGGCGCCACGGAAGCACCTGTGCGAGCGCTAAAGGACACCAAACGCCTGCGCTTGGGACCCGACGGTCCGTCCGATTTGGCTATCGCGTCGCTCGTGGACGCAGAGCACCGACGCACCGGCTCGTTGGCGAGGCAACCCCGCAGTGGCTTCAATCTGTAAGGAGATAAAAAAAATATCTCGACCGTCTCGTTTACGTGAAGTAAGGCTAGAAGAGTTAAATATCAATACTTATTAAAAAGGACATAAAATTAGACATTCGCCAAC